TTTGGGGGGCTGCGGTCAGCCCTCGCCTCTGCCACAGCCTCCCAAATCCTTGTGCATGTCCCTGCCTCTCCCTGTGCTGCATCCTGGGCTGAGGGACCCGCTGTCACCCCATGCTGGCCCCTAGCACACGCACTGGCACAGAGCAGGATGCGTGCGAGGCTGGCAGGGGTTTTAGGGAGCCCACCCAGCACAGCAGGGCTGGCCCCAGCTCCAGCCAGAGCAGCAAGGAGCAGCCCGGGAGGTCCCTGCCCCATGGCCTGGGCCTCAGGAGTGGGGAATGCTGTGGGGACCATACAGCTCCCAGCCCACGTCCACAGCTCCCCGCACCAGAGGAAGGAAGCAAACCCACTCTGCCAGGTACAGCATGGCCCAGGGTCAACGTGTCCCTGCTTACAGGGCGCAAGCGTGCCTGTAAATCCAGAGCAGCAGGAAAGACCAGTTTCTCCCTGAGGAGCCCCTGGCAGAACAGAGGGGAGGGGGCAAACCTTTCCCTGTGCCGTGGGACACGAAGGGGACAGGGGCCAACACGGCAGAGCCCTGAGCATCCTGAAGCAGCGTTTGTTCCCGTTGGGCCAAACGCTGCCCCAGGCTCATCCCCAGCACCATGGCAGGAGCAGGCCCGTGGTGGGGAACGACCATCCCATCCTAGATGCCTGAAGGGACACGACAGCAACACCAGTGACCCCAAACCAGCCCGTCACTGTTGCTATTAGACACATAGCCCAGCTTCTGACACCAGGCTATCCCGGTGCAGAGCATCGCGTGCTGGGACAGTACCTACCACCCCTGGTCCTCCCAGGGTGGAGTCACCCAATCCCCAAGTGCCACTAAGCCAAGACCGGGAAAGGGCAAGGGAAAAAGTTGCTTTGCTCGAGGGCAGCACCTCCCAAACCTGCTTCTTGTGTTGCTGGGAGAAATTCTTCACAGAGAGGGTGGTGAGGCACTGGGACAGGTTGCCCAGAGAAGCTGTGGATGCCCCATCCCTGGGAGTGTCCAAGGCCAGCCTGGAGGAGGCTTGGAGCAACCTGGTCTAGTGGAAGGTGTCCCTGCCCATGGCAGGGGGGGTGGAACTGGATGGTCTTTAAGGTCCCTTCCAACCCAAACCATTCTGTGATTCTATGACTTCGAGGGCTGAGTTTGGGGCTGCCTGAGCTCGGCTCTGGCCCGGTATAGAGGTTTTGCAGCCCAACCCATCCCGCCTGAGACAAGACCAGCAACGGCAAAGCCCTCTGGAAAATGAAAAGCACCAGTCCAGAGCAATCCCAATTCATCACCAACTCACACCATTTTAGCATTTCGCGGCAGGGAAAGCAGGTCACATTACACACAGCCCACCTGGGGCCCAGAAAGGGCTAAATGGGTACATCCATCTTCCGCTCCTCATCAGAGCACCCTGCCAGCCAGGGCCCTTTCCCTGCTGCCCTCCGCGATGAGAGCAGCCGGAGGCAGAGGACTGAGGATGCTCGCTGCCTCCTCGCCCTGCAAGTCCCTATTCCGGCGGGTCTCTGCTGTGTAAGAGAAGCGTCTGGTGGAAAGAGGACACAGACAGGCGCCTTCCCACCACCTCCAGCCTCACCTGGGGCCATGGGCAGGGCAATCCCCAGTCCCACAGAGCCACGCACAGCCAGCATTGTGGAGATGAGTTTATTGACACGGAGGGCAGGTAACGCCTGAAGAGCAACACAACTACGCGGCAAACACTCGAACGAGCGGCGCGGTGGGAGAGGAGGGCGAAACACTGCCGACCGAGCCCAGGCTCTGCCCTGCAGTGTGGAGACACCCATGTGCCCAAAAAGCTGGGAAGAAATTTGGCAAGGGAAGGGGGAGCTCAGCAACCCCTCCCTCATCGAGGCTACACCGGCTGTTTAGCAGAGGAGGCTCAAGTGTTTGTTCCTGACCCTCTCCCATCTCCCTGCCCTGATGCAGCGTTGCACTCCGTGCCACTGGCGCTTCCTTAATTGCTCTATTAATAATTTTTGCAGTGCACCCACGGGGCTTGGAGCAAATCACCCCCCAGCACGCATGGGCAGGGCTCAAGGGCTGCATTGTTCCAGCCCTGCTCCACTTCTTCCCCAGCCAGAGCACAGGGGTTCCTGCACAGGGACACCACCTTCCTCGGGGTCCCACAGCTCCCGGGCCCTGCTGGAGTTTTTCCAGGGCATTGCGACCTTTTCCCGGCACTGGCTCCCTGGCTGCAGAGTGCCAAAGCCCTGACGAACCATCTCCCACCGTAAAACATTTACTGACTTTGAATGTGGCATCTATAAAGACTACATGGGGGTTGCTGCGCGCAACAGCTTGGCTGGCTGGGGAGGAGATGGCGTCAAAGCATGCTGGGGAGGGTGAAGCCGTTCTGGGTGGTGGCTTGGGTGAAGCAGGACAAGCGATGGATGGAGCCAGGACATGCAAGAGGCTTTGCTTTCACTGCTGTTGCCACAGCGCTTAGTGGTTGCAATGTGGCAAGTCCACAGCCATGGGCTGGAAAGGGAATCAGTCCTGGCCCTAAGGACAGATTGGAGAAGAGGGGCCAGGGCATGGGGCTGCTGGGGACAGGGGGTGGGAACAGGAACCTGGCTGGCCCTTGTTACCATATGCCTTGGTGCAAACAACCAAGCCGCACATGGAAGAAATGCTTCCAGGACCTGCCCAGCTCTCACCCAGCCAGGACCTGAAGCCCCTAGGCAGGCAGGGTGCAAACACCAAGCAAGCCCCAACCAGCCCGCATCACGCCACAGCCTGGGTTTTGCGGGACAGCATGGGAAGAGAGAGCGCCGCTCCCCTCCCCAAGGCAACCCGGGGACACTGCCAGCAGCGGTCCCTCTCCACAGGGGCACGGCAGATGCCTGCAGCACCCGCGGGGAAGCGGCACTGCCACGTTCCGACGTAGCAGCGTGAGGCCTGGGGACGGCTGGGGTTAGCACAGCACCAGGTGAAGGCGGCACAGCTCAGGGGATGGCCGAGAAGGCAGTTCGGCCGCGGCAGGCACGGAAAGAACAAGAAGAGGGGCTGCAGATGAGTGAGGATGCAGAGACCATACCTGGAGCTCTGGCAAGAGTCTTTTGCTCTAGGAGTGGGCTCGTTTCCTTCGTTTCATCCACCGTTGTCCCGTTATCAATCTAGGTCTGCAGCTCCTCCCCACGCAAAAGCAGCCTCACGTCTCAAATCAGCAGCTAATGAGCCAGGGAGATGGTTGGAGTGAAAACACACCATCAAAAGCAGAGCTGAGTCTGCCAGCACAAGTGTAATAAAAAACCCCTCTCCTAAGGCTCCATCCGCCTCCACGGACCGAACTGATGGCTCTGTTCCTAGTTCCCCGAGGCCGTGCTCACGCTGCTAGAGCCTGACGTCCCTGCAGGGCTCCCAGTACTTCCTTGGAATCGCCTTCCCTTTAAGCCAATTACAATAGAAAAACTCAAAAAAAAAAAGTATAAAAATATAAAATAAAGTGCAGTGTTATGTTTTCGACACTTTTGCCTTGTTTTAATGAGCCGACGTGTGGTCTTTGCTTGTTTTTGTTTGGGTTTTGGTGGGTTTTTTTTCCAACAAGCGGTATCTTACAAAATCGTAACTACGCCTAAAGCCATTTAGAAAACACTGAACATTGGCACAAGATGGAGAAGCCCACGAGAACGGATAATGAGTGAGGGGTGAGGGGGACGTGGGAATAGTCGAAGCAGTGGTTACAAACTCCATGGACGCTAAAAATATCAAAGGGGTTTGTTCCCTATCATCATTAGCACGTGCATACTAATTGCTACCTTGTTTAATCAGTGCCTTTGACTGAAATCCTACACATGAATACAGCTGCTTCCAGTTAGGAGTGCTTTTCCCCGCGCCAGTGGCGAAGGAGGATTTGGGGACCCCTTTCTCCCCCCTCCTTCTGCAGGGTGAGGCACAGGCTGATCTCCTGTTAGTTTTTCAAGATGGCATCGTAGGCCTGGTAGATGTACTGGGACACTTCGGGAGCTCGGCACTTCAGGGAGAGCTGCGGAAAGGAGAGGAGCAGTTAGCGGGCGTGCAAAGGAAGGTAAGGCTCTTTCCACTGTCTCCATGCAGGCACCTGGAAGCGTCTGACCTACGGCATGGGTTGGACAGACCCTGGGCGCGGCTGAGGGCCGTCACCCAGGGTATTTCTCTTGGGTACGCTGCTTCGTCACCAACACCGAACCGAGAGCTTGCGACAAGCAGGAGGAGCTACCTGAAAGCAAACTCCTGCTGCGGGGTTCCCAAATTCCCTAATCTGTAGGTGTCCCTGCAGACATGAAGGATAAGGACAGTACCCCTGCTCTGAGACAAGGGACTTGCTTGCCCTTACATTGTAAACCACAGCACCAAGCCTGGGGGCCTCTAACAACTTGCTGCTCAGTGCCGATGGACACAAACTTGGCTGTTGCCCCTCTCCTGTAGCAAGGATCAGGCTTGGGGCATCAACCCTTGAGCAAACACTTTAAATCACTTTCCAACACTCGCTTTCACCCTGCACATCCCAGACTATGGCTTTTTCTTGAAACTCCTGGAACAGCTTCCAACAGGAGATAAATCCTCTAGGACCAGGATGCTCAGACGCACAGGCCCTCAGCAGGGGAACAAAGTCAGAGGGAACAGCTGTAGGGCGCACGATGCGGGACAGACTGCACCTGCCCACCGGCTGCAGGCTGACGCCAGCACAAGGCCCGAGTGGCTCCCATATCCAGACAGCCGGTCTCCGCTGCAGGAACACGGCAGAGCATAAATTTCTCCTTGTTTATGAGAGGGGGAAGGGCATCCTGGCAGTGCTTTCTCGCTAATGTCTCTTGGCTTTGTGTCTGGGTAACCTTGGCAAGTAACTGCTCATTGCTGAGTGGCCATTGTCCCAGCTCACTGGTAACAGCAGTGTAATTCTGTTGTTTCTCACTTTTTTTCCCAGTTCAGTGGGCATTCCTAACCCCTCAGTCAAGCTAACAGGATCTCCCCCAAAACATGCACATTAGGCAAAGCAGGGAGAAACAGCTCCATGGGCGAGGCAAGTTGGAAGGATGCGCCACATGCCCTCCGCAGTCCAACACCTCACCGTGTAGTTTGGGTTCCCCGGCTGAATGCGAAGCTCCGCCAAGATCCAGATGCCGTTGGTGAGTTTCAGAGACTGGTAGAGCATGTCCTGGCCCTCCACATTCCTCTTGGCAATGGTGTAGACGTTGTTGTTCTGCAGCTTGCTGGAGACAGTGTCTTCAGAGAGAAGGAAGAAAAACACATCTGTTAATTCAGATTCATAATCTGTGGAGACAGGAGAGCCCGGCGTAGCATTCTCAGGATGCAAGCCCTGACTTTTGTCCCCGAGTTTTCCCTGAGGACAGGAGCAGGCATGACACAAGGAGAAAAAAATTCCTCTTGGCTTCCATGGACCCACCTCCTTCCTTCCAGGCTGTGACCCCTTGTGAAGTATCTGCCCATCTTGCAGGGCTTTCACTGCTCTGGGTCAGTGAAAGCCCCGCAAGCTTTTCTCTGCAGCTCAGAGCAGAAGGACTCTGCTGCCTCACCCCCACGCAGCCCGAGGCATGCTGACCTGGAGGCAGCCAAAAGGCAGAAGATGAAGGTGGAGAAGAACAAAGTTCACTGCCTGGGGCTCACTCGGGTGTCTGGTTCTGAGGTCCTGTCCCAGCCGTGACAGCTGCCTCCTGCTCCCCCTGCCCCATGCACAGACACTTTTGGCCAAACCCATGTCCTACAAGGTAGTAAAAGTATTTTTCTTTTTTTCTTAAAGCAACGACTTGAAGGGGTAAAAACACAGACACATCTGTCTCTGGACATCATAGGGCTGCGATACAGGTTTTAACATGCTGCACGACCTCAGCACTCACAAGAGGTGCGATTTCACCTGGAGACCTGAACGGATGTCGCCACGACACGTGCTATTTCTAACGGACCTTTCAGAGAAACAAGACCAGAAGCAAATATGCAGAATACAAAGACCCAAACCAGCGGCCTCTGGATGCCATGGGGTTTCTCACCACAGAGCAGGGCAAACCTCAGCCTTTGGATGCCCATAAAAGGGGCACATTCCCACTATGGGTGGAAAGCTCAGGGAGGACGACTCCACACCCGATAATCTTCACTGGTAAATTCCCCTTCCTGGCACCCAACAGAAGTTTAACCCCTTCAAGCTCTCTGTGCCAGGGAGGAATACTCTCTCTATCCCGGGCCATTATCAGCAGCTCGGGCACTTTTGACAGAAAGCAAGGGAGACAAGCGGCCTTAAACCAATTTGCACTAAAAGCCAAGAGACTGGGAACGTGGGATCCATTTCAAGGAGCGTGAGGGCAGGACAGGAGCAGAAAAGCGGCACGAAACGACCATGCAGCTCTAATCCATGCCTGCACCTACCCTGTGGGCACCAGTGCCAGACTGTAGAATGGACACAAGTCTGTGCTGGTGTACAGAGGGATTAGAGGGGGGACAGCCAAGTCTGTTCCTGCACCAGGGAATGGCAGAAGCAGGAAAGAAGAGCCCCACAAATCCACGCACTGATGCAGAGACCTGGACCCGCTGCCTCTCCCCAGGGCAGGTAACCAGAGCTGCAGAACATCTCCATGGGCAGCCTCGACCCTTCGCCCGCAGCTGGGCTGAACCCCAAAGGCTCCCCAGGCTTCAGAGTGGCTGCGTGCAGGTCGAGGAGGGTTCAGGCATCCAGCTACCCAAGACACACGCAGATTTAGGTTTCCTCTCTTCCCCAGTTACTATGGAAACTGGCAGATATAAGTAACTAATGAGATCCTTTGCTTAAAAGCCCTCATTCCCTGTCTCCTCTTCCCACCTCTACTCCCCCTCTGTACAACAAACTCTTCCAGATTAGGGAAACAGGTATCGCAGAGCAGTTCCCTGATCGCAGGAAGCATGGCTGGGAGAGCCCCACACTGCAGGGACATCACCCATTAGGGATGAGGCCCAAATTCCCATCTCCTCATGTCCTTCCAGCAGCGAGAGCAGCCTCCAGGGCTTTGCAAAGGCACGCTCTTACAAGCTCAGAGAGCGCGTTATTGTTTGCAAGGGATGTTGGTATTAAATGTGAATGATTGCCCAATTTTAACAGGCTGAGGTTAAACCTCGATGGTCTGAAGCCCCCGTGGACTTGTATCCTGAACACGGAACGGCTGGCAAGGGTTGAAGACTTTCTCCAGCAATCTGTATCCTGCGGGGATCAGTCGCCCCTCTGCTGAGGGATGCTGTCAGAGCAAAGGCATTCCCCGGGGATCGGAGGTGCAGGGTCAGAAGCAAGGCTGCAAGTGGGAAGCTGTGATTTTGGCAGCGGTGGGGCTGCTACCCCATCACACAGTGTGACGGCAGAGGAAGGGAGCGTGCCTGTCGCCCAGGGAGCCACGGTGGGCGAGATGGGCCGCAGAGCATCCACGCTTACGCCAAAGCCTTCAACCATGTGACGATGGTTTAAACATCCAAACAACCGCTGCCTCTGCTGGGGGCAAGTTTCCTTGCAGGGACATGTTTGTAGGGGGGTACAGGGAGGGAAACCAAGGCAGGGCAGACTCCTAGGAAAGACTCTTTTCCACCTCCCTGTCTGACCTCAGTTACCCCCTGGAGTGCAAGAAACCCTACAAAACCCTGTCTCAGGCAGACACCTGGAGCACCCCTGAGCAGGCTGGAGTGCTGATGCTCACCCTCCTTCCCCTGCCCCCTCTCTCAGCATAGATTCGGGCACTGAGGAGAGCCCACCCCCTCTCCCCTCAGGTAGCAGCTCCCATTCCTCCTGTGCTCCAGAGAGTCAGGATTTTAGATTTTGGAGATCGGGCAGAGTTGCTAAGCAACAGTGCCAGGCTGTGCCTGGCTGAAGGCAGGACCCCTAATGCCATGTGACAGCACAGGCTATTAAAAAGAGAAGGCAGGCAGATATTTGCTGGGAGCGGAGTGCCGAGCCCAGCCCTGAACGGGGCTGCTGGTTCCCAAGCGAGTGCGTGGCACCCACCGAAGCCTGGTTTAGTGCCCAGCGCGGGCAGAAGGGCTGAGCTGCGCTGCCTGGGCACGTGTCTGCTCGCACACGCGGGTCTGGGGACTCTGCAAGCCACAGGAGTCCTTCTGCAAAACGGCACAGTCTATGGCTGACCTGGCTAAGCAACTTTCCATAGGGCTCTTTCTTCTGACTAGATGCTTACTCTCAAAACCCTCTTGAAGCACAATGCAAGGACACAGGAAATTCCTCATCACCAAGGCCAGGGAAGCTTCTGACATCAGGCCATCTGTCAGGCTTGGGTTTTTTTGTTTGTTTGTTTTCCTTTTTCCTTATGAACAGAATTCTTTACCTCAGTTCAACAACTAAGAAGCACATGTGGAAAGACAGGCATGCAAGGAAGAACAGCTGGATAAGGTCCCCTCCCTTGCACTGAAGTAATCCAGTTCAACAGCATTTTCCTTCTGGGTGAAGCAAAAGACAGGCTTAAATCTTCTACCCACACCGCTTAAGAATTTCACTTCCAAATTTAACAGCCAAGATGACCAACTCAAACAGGAGTTTTCACAAAGGACATGCACGGCTCAGAATCAGCCCCAACAACATACCTTTTTTTGAACTTGGACTTTTGTGGCATTTTGCAACAAGCACTAGATATTAAGAAGTAAAATTTAATCACTATATTTTGTGCTGTGGCAGCTGAGAACAGCCCCACGCCATTTCTAGTAACACCTAAATGGTTCTGAGCATGCAGCCAAGAGCTGCATTCAAATCCCAAATGCAGCTGCAGGCGTGGACGCTGTGGAGAGGGCACCTCGGTCAGTATTACGACAGTACGTTCTTTTCCAAGACATGTAATATGCATAGTTTCTATAAAAGGATAGAACTGGTTTCTATTCAGGATACCAGATCTGCACATATAGAAAATAAAACAGAAGCCTGTATACGATCGTGTCCCAGGTTCTTCCAGCTAGAAAATCCAATTTCTTTGTTCTAGCATTAAGAAATTACTCAGCGGGGAAAAAAACCCAAAGTGACCACTGCATACCAATAAAGGCATTTTCAACTCCAAACACTAAAGCTGCTGTTTCACACCCAACTGTGGACCAGCAACAAGCAAGTAAAACCAAAGTTCCTAGAACTGCTGAACAGCACAGCAACTAATTGCCTCCTGCTTAATGGCATTCGATCTCCATGTGCAAGTCATTTGCCTTCTTTCACTCTGTGTGTTTGGGTAAGCAGAATTTCAAAAAAGAAAACCATCCTGCTAATCTGATTTGCATATCTTAGCTTAATGTGGTGGTCCTTTAAAATCTAATCAAACTTAGCATGTTGAAAAACCAGTGTAAACAAGGCAAACTGAGCTTCAGCCCATGTTCGGTTGCAGGGGAAACCTCAGCTGGTACAGCTGTACCGGTAGCACCCAGATTATATGAGCTATAACAGACTATGAATCTATTTTCATGCACTAGATTCTTCTATTTTCATTAAAAAACCCAAACCCAATTAATTTAGCAGTGGATTCTTAAGTGATGAGAATGCTGGGTATAACCGTGACCTTGTGTTTGCATTACAAGTGGTATTTCTGAATATGGTTTTCTCCATCGCACTATCATAACCTCTTCCTAAGAGGCAGATGCATGAAGCAGAGCTCTAATTAATTCAAGATGCACGGTGCATCCTAAGTACACCTTGGCCTCAGGATACAACTCCAGAGACTTGCTCCTCCACGGCCATATGGCTCCAGCCCTAAAGAACAGCCTCAGGCCAGTGCCAGCTCTCACCCCTGGGAACCTGAGCCCTGGATCCCTCCATGCAGAATTAAGCACTCATCTCTGAGTCACGGGGAACTGTGGGAATATCTTCAAGGGTCCAGGACTTGATTTTTTTGGAAACACAGATGTTGGAGACAGGGATCACTGGCAAGCTCTACCACTTCATGGTACCTGCTCCTCACCCTGCAGCCTGGCACCTTATCCCAGGCTTCGGCTTGCGGTGCTGTGGGCTACCTTCGGCAGCCAAGATTTTCTGGCTGTTTCGTGCCCTGTTATGGCCTGAACTGCCAGGGGTGGGAGCTTTTTCTGCCATCCCTGTTGCAAACCATCAAAGCTTGAGTCAATCCTATTTGGCATGCCTCGTGGGCACAGGATGGATCTTTCACCCACAAAGGCCTGGGAGCACAGGCTCACACCAAAGCATCTCTGCTGACGGACTGTGTTTATCTTCTTTTTGTTTGAAGGAAGAAGAGAAATAACCTGGGGAAAAGCCTGCAGTTTACACAGGAGGTGCTGTGAGGTGACGGCTGCACAGCGACAGACAGCCCTGGGTATACAAGAAATTCACAAGCTACTTTCTTGACGGATAAAATCCCAACCCTCTCAAAAATCTCTGTTCCAAGCCTATTCCACTTTGGTTTAAAGGGAAAGAAATTTCAAAATTTCAGTTTCTCCACTGAAGAAAACCAGCATCCCCTGTTTTAGTGGCTCAGCAGGGCCTCTGGCATGTCTGCGTGTAACTTCATCCCCGCTTCTCACTTGGCGCTGTGACAGCAGAGATCCCAGCGCTTGGGAAAGCAAAGGCTCTTCACAGCTGGGAGAGGAAAAGCCAGGCACCGAGGGTGCAGGGACCATGCTCCTGATCAGCCCTCTGCTGAGCAGTGGCCACGTGCCGTTCTGCACGCCCGTCTCCATCGCTGCTGCCTGCCGGTGCCGAGATCAGGGCACATCAGCTGGGAGCAGAGGTATTTTTAGCTCACAGCTAAATTCGCGTCACTGGGCTGGAATCGGTTAGACCAAAGCATGAATGGCGCCGTGCATCCCAGAGCCTCGGTGGCAACTCTCCACCAAGTGGGTGGGCTCAGGCTAGGCATGAATTACTTATCCGAGCAGATGCGAGAGGAGGGATAACGATTCACACAGTGGCTGCACACCTCTGCGGAGCCGGCGGCGCTTAGAAGCTTTTCGTCTGTGCTCAGGGGTTGCAAAACCCAGCATCTCCTAAGTTTGAGTGAGGAGCTGTTGAAATCTGCAGACTTTGTTCTGCCTCGGCAGCCACTGCGTACCTTATTTTCTGCCGTGATAGGAGAGCTGCACGCGGCGGCATTTCATGGGTGAACAATAGAATGGCTGACAGCCCAGGTCGAGAGCGTCATTCTGCTTAGGCACCTGCTACCAAGAGTGGCTTTTGAACATGAAACAGTCTTTCCTCCACGAGGAACAAGTTCCTAAAGATTTTATACCCAGAGCTGCTATTCTTGGAAGAAAGGAGGGGTCTTAAAACAGGGCTATTTTCACTGCATTTACATAAGAATGCAAATCTTGAAAGACTCTCGCCCTACTGCGGCACTGTGGCCAGGCAGGCACCCTCGCTCTGGTATGAACTAGCAGCTTTCAGTTTATACCAGCCCATCCAGTTTATTTGCCCTCTGCCTTGGCACACACCACCAGCCACTTGCCACGCACCACGAGAAGTCTCCGTCCCTGAGGATGCTGGAAGTGTCCACAGGGTCTGGGGCCTGGCTGACCCTTGCATGGACAGTTTAGATGCTCTTAGGATTGTCTGTACTAGAGAGGAGGTTACTGCCTAGATGAAATCAAGCTGAGCAGTCAACTGAGTCGGGGTTGCACTGGTAGTTAAAATACAAGGGACTGAGACAAGCAGATAAGATGTCCCTAATTCTCCCTCTTGCAAGCTATTGGCCTGCTCCGTGCCGAAGCCCAGGTGGTCAAGGAAGGAAATGGCCAGCAGAGTCACAAAAGGGAGGTGGTGTCAGCAGTGGAAATACAAGAACAGAAGCTTCAGCAGATAGAAGTGTTTGAAATCTGTTTATGAGACATGACCCACCTTCTCCTGTTCATAAGCCAAAGAGGCTGGCAGATCCTGTACACCCCGGAGCATCCCAAGGGCCAGATCGTGCTTGGGACAGGCACTGCATCCAGGGCTTTTGCTAAAGCAGCGAGAGAAGCCTCTGCTCGTCAAGCCCTGGCAATGGCTGCAGATACCACAGCAGGGAAACCACTCAGCGTTCCCGTGTTCTCCCTGCGAGCCAGCAGCATGTTCTCCACCAAGCATCCCAATTCAAGCAGGCCTGGGCAAGCGGTCTGGTCTGTAGCTGGCAAACACTTCCTGAATGGGGAGCACTGCTGGTCAGCCCACATCTTCTGGATGGAGAAGGGAGCACGGGCCAGCCTGTAAGGTGGCCAGAGCTCACCCTCCCAGCCAGGTACACCCCCTCTTCCTCCCAACAACACCCCCTGCTAACCAGCCCCCAACAGCCCAGGGCCAAGCAAGAGTCCGGAACGGTTCCGATCTGCGATGCGAAGAGCTGCGGGCGGCACAGTCAGGGCACGGCCGGGGCAGAAGGCCTTCCCGGCAGCACTGCAGTGCAGGGGCAGAGGCTACAGGGGCAGAAGGCCTTCCCGGCAGCACTGCAGTGCAGGGGCAGAGGCTACAGGGGCAGAAGGCCTTCCCGGCAGCACTGCAGTGCAGGGGCAGAGGCTACAGGGGCAGAAGGCCTTCCCGGCAGCACTGCAGTGCAGGGGCAGAGGCTACAGGGGCAGAAGGCCTTCCCGGCAGCACTGCAGTGCAGGGGCAGAGGCTACGGGGGCAGAAGGCCTTCCCGGCAGCACTGCAGCGCAGGGGCAGAGGCTACGCCAAGCTCAGTCGGGAGCAGAGGGAGGGCTGGGGGAGGTGCAGAGGTTGTTCTCAGTTGAAACCCCACAGTGAAATCAAGTCATAAGGTCCAACAGCTGCTGTCTTTTCCCCCTCCTGCATGCTCCATCTTTTATATTCCAAAATAGTAATAATTATGAGTACAAAGAGACCCATGGTTTCTGTCTGCAGTTGAAGCAAGGTGTTCATTGTGTAACAGCAGACACGAGCGAATAAAAAGGTTACGGGGTTTTTCCTCCGTGAAACATAGCAGCTTTACGGTAGAATCACTTGGCTCCTGTCCAGAACCTCTTGAACAGGAGCAAAGCTGCTACGCTGGCCCCATTCCACTTTTTTTTTTCTTTTTACATTCCCTCATCCTTCTGCAGTAGTAAGGTCATACATCCAAGTAGGATGCTCACAGAGGCAACTAGACTAAACACAGACCTGAACGAGACAGCGTGATCAAAATGGATCAATATGGCAGCTAACAGCAGCAGACCAACACTTCCCACACGGCCCGTCCTCCACAGATGTCAAAACCCTGCGGAGGGTTACTCCTTCACAACAGAAAGAAGAAAGCAGATGCTGAAGGGTGAAGTGACTGACCCAGGAAGATGCAGTAGGTTAAGTCAGGGCTGGGACACGATGCCTGACACAGAGTGGCAGGACAGGGTTGCTGTACAGCCCCAACTCCGTATCCAGCTCTGTTTAAAAGAGCCACTTCGCAGAGAAACAAAGTACAGAGAGAAAAAAAAGAATACAACGTCCACAACGAAAGGAAGACACAGACAGGTAAAAATCTAAAATCTGGGATTTTAGATGTGCTTTTATGGGGACCCAGTTAAAGTTTTTACTGAAACAAGCCCTGGGATCCAAGGCTGTTCTGTTCCTAAGCGCAACACCCATCTGTCCGTTAGCCACAGACAATGCTGTCAATAACGTGATGTCTGGTGACCATACATCAGAGTGGTCTCAGCACAGCAGGATTAAGCTACTCACCGGCATTCAGGTGACAGTCTTTAATTTGGAACTGCAGCTCATTTTCGTTTGGAATATCCTTCCACGTTGCAAGGAAGACCTGGCGCTCTAGAAACAAAAGACAATCAGCACTCCTGGATCCTCACAGGACCAGCACATCAATTAATTCACCACAGAATGATACAAGGTAGAGACAAAAAAGATCTTTTGGTCACATTTTGCCCTGCTGTGGTCAGACCCAGGATTTTCTTCCATAACCACCTCAGTCTCACCGTGAAAGCAGCAAAGCTCTGATGGATTTTGGAGCCCCCAAACCATATGAGCTCTTTATGGGGAGGGATTATGAACAGGTGGGATTTGACAAGAAGGAAGGAGTCCCACACATTAAGGATTATGTTACAGTGAAAGCTGCTTTTCAACCTACCTCCTAGCCAATTCAAACAACAATTTAATAAAGGTGACCAGGAACACATGAGTTACAGTGGAAGTGGTATGAGGGCAAACCCTAGACCCCTTTGAGTACCCCAAACCCCCCCCCCCCCCCCACCCAGTTAGCTTAAAAGAAAACTGATTCACCCCTTGTCTGTCAGAAAGAATCAGGGCAGAGGACTTGGGTTCTGGTAACTATTGGAGCTGCAGGACAACAGGGACAGGCTACCAAACCACTACAGGCCATTTCAGGCCGCCGAGATGCTCTGGGAGGAAGATCATGGCCAAGCACACGTAATTCTCAGCCGTGGGACAACTGCATCCAGCTGGGCACTGTTAGCACAGTCTGGCTGAAGGAGGCTGACTGCAGACCTAAAAGCACTCACCCATTTTGCCATCCTCTACGAAAAGGACATTGAGAGGAATTAGGCAGCTGAAGTAAAAGACATCGATGTTGTTTTTCACAGCCACCTGTTATAGAAGAAATAGGGGGGTTAGAGAATCTCTACCAGCTGGAAGTCCAAAGGGATCCCACGACTTTAGGCAGTCTCATCACCTGCCTGTGCACCCTGGAGCGCTCTCTCTGAGCGGAGGCCGGCTCTGAACATGAGACTACCTGGAGAGATGCTACTGAGCTTCTGGGTAGTTTCTGACAAGGACCAGTCCCACCTCTCTGCGCTCACCCCATTTTCACTAAAAGCTGCTCAGTCTTCTCCTATAAGCCAATCTGCTTCAGAGCCACTTGCACTGATGGGGACACAGCCAGCGTCCTTGCTCTTTTCTGCTCTCATGCAGCCTCTCCCTCCCCTCGCTTCTTCCACCTCCGAGGCACATTTGTATCTCTTGGCTGCACACAGCTACTATCATGCCTGTCAAACTGCACACGAGCTCTCCATCGCCCCTTTGCCATCTCACTCTCGCAATTGCCTAGCTCCAAACCCCTGTGTACTCCTTATTTCCACCCCAGCTCAGTCATGTCTGAACACGCAGACTCCATGATTAGTCTTATCTCAGCCCGGACACTTTCTAGACAGCCTGAAGTGTGTCCATTGCCTGCATCTTCCTTGCAACATCTCCCGGGTCTCCTGCCTTTACCTCTGTGAAAGTTACACAGCGAACATGTGCCACGTGTCGATACCTGGAAGAAGAAAGCCCTGCTACAGAGCAATCAGGGCAGGTAAAAAAAGATCACTTGACAAAAGACTTAATTCTTGGTGTCATTAAGCTCTACCAGCCAGGGAGATGCACTGGATTGCTTTTCATCACACAGGCTCACCCCATTACTAACTAATCTCTGCTAACAGAGAGAGCAACCTCACTTTCAGTTTCCCCTAGGCTGAGAGCTGACCATCCAGCAGGAGTAAATTAGAGGTCTGAGAAAACGTACAGTCATAATACAGCACAGAAGGAGGTAGCTCTGGGCTTTATTTCTATGCCTCTCACGCCCTCCTCACATCACCCCGCACAGCGATAGCCTGTCACGGCACTGCAGGTCAGCAGACACCTGCCGTTGCTCGCAATGAAGGAAACAGCCTCTAAGAGACCTAGAACTGAGGTCATGTGGGGAGCCCGGAATTTTAGCAGCCATTTGAGCTCCTACTTGCTTTGAAAAATGCCAGGAGTTCTTCAGTTTGAAGCCCAGCTGAAACACAGAGCAGATCGTGCTAAACGCTGAACCAAAGAAATAAAACTGCCGCTACAAAGATTTATGTCAAGACAAACTCCATTCACATTAATAATTATATATATTAGTGTCCTGCTGAGAAAATCCATTGTTCTGTAGCAGCAGGTTTAGAAGGACATTCCCAAATGTTGGTAAAAACAGCTGCAGATAGACAAGAGAGAGGAATAAACCAGAGAATTCAGACCCAAGTCAGCTCATTTAGACATCCACGCGAGCCAGAGGACAAGTAGTAGATCAAGCTCCTGAACACACCCTTCTAGCAACTAGGAAGGTCCCAGAAGCGCAAAGAACAGCGAAATGGTAGATGTGACAGCCTGTGGGGTTTCTACTTTCAGCCAGCACTAGAGGTAGGAGCTTATATTTAATTCCCACAGTGCAAACCAGCTTAAGAAGGGATTAGTTTAAAGATCGCTAAACCCACGTAAATTATGGTGCAACCTAGGGAAAAAAAAAAAAAGGAAATGGTCCTCTGTGACGAGGAGCTGTCACATGCTTCAATTGCTGGCGTCACACTCGCAAGCTGGAACGTCTAGTGTTTGAGCTACAGGGACGAAGGCAGGGGGGCAAAACCAGATTGGTGGCTGGACTTGAGTGATTCACCTCTGCAAAATGTGATTGAACAGACTGGATGAGTAGCCAAAAACGCACCTCTGCGTCTGGGAGGGGAGAGCTGGAGAAGGGACAGCAGTGTAGCCATTCCAGATGCTATGCCTGGATGTAAGTCATGGAGATGAGCCAGAAGAGGAAAAATTTAGGCTAAACGTCTGGGAAAACTCAATAGTGAGAATTATTAAGCAGCACAAAATTCTCCTGAGGAAGAGAAGCTCCAGTGCTTGGAGTATTTAAAATCAGGGTTGACAATGCTCTCAGTAAGAGGAACTGTAGCAAAACAACAAAGCATAGCAGGGACTACACTGCGTGACCTACGATCTTTTCCAACTATGATTTAATGATTAATTGCCTTGCCTTAGAACAACAGAGATTATTTAGCTTTTGTAGCTAATTGTTCTTGCCATACAACAGCAGTTTCTTACGAGAGGGGCTGGAAAGCAGTGCTTTCTCTCCAGTCACGGTTCTAGAGGCACACTCCAAATTAATATGCTAACCCTGTCACTGCAGTTATAAGAATGCTATAAAAAGGTATCTGCTGACCTGCTTCTCAACTCTGCAGAAACATACTGAGTAAGCTGCTTTGGCTATACTCTGGAGAGCTACCCAATTAAGATGCTCTGAAGTGCAATTTCTTCCCAGCAAAGGAAAGCAAGCTACATGCCAGCCTTCCTCCCAAAATGCATCATCAGTTCAGTAATGGTGACATCACATGTCACCTTGCAAGTATCTGGAACGATGCAGAAACTAGCTGCTACAAATAGCTTTTGCAAACAGCAAAGGAAAAAGCTACAGTCTCCTTAAACCTACAGCACTGGAGAAAGACTGATAAGCTTTTCAAGACTAGCTTCCATCGTGCAACACCACATACTTCCCCCAAACAGCCAGGCAGGCACTGTTAGCGCTGCGGTTCCCAAGATCTGGTTCATGAAAAGCCACCTGCATATACCTGCAGAGGAAAACCTGTACCAAGAAGAGGCTAAGAGGCCCTGCCAGCTGATGACAGCTTTCCAAGGGCACACCTCAACCTCTGCACTGCCACAGCAGGAGCAGCCAATGCCATCCGACAGGCTACAAAAGCAGATGTAGGCAGAAAGCAGATCCACAGCAATGCATAGGAGAAACTGAGTAGCTAACAGCCACTCGCCAAAAAAATCCACTGCTCCTTAGGTGGGAACATGGACCGGAGACAATCAACGACATCTAAAGCGATACCAGTAGTTGAGAAGTCTCTCCAGGTTTGACATACTCAAAAGGAACCTCCACTTGCATTCAGTAAATCCTCCAGTCCCGACTAGCTTTGCCTGTGGCTCTGCAGCTTTAACCTGCCGACCTGGACAGGGACTATTAAACCTTTAACAAGAGCTTCAGACATCTGAAAGTTGAAACAGAGGCACTTTAAATAAAAATGGCTTTTCATCTGTGATCTTTTTGAAAGGAGGGGAAAAAAAAAAATAACATTACTACCTTGTGAATTTAGTCAAGCAGACAACAAAGCTTCTGAGTGATGAAAGTCATCAGGTGCCAGATTTTCATGTGATGCTTCACTGCTGAAAAGGTGTGAGCTCACTGAAAACTGGCACAGGGTTCCAAATCATGTACGTCTTGTTCACGGATCTGACTAGAGGAAGCAGCACCTCTAGAAACAACCCTTGAAATGTATTTGCTCACGAGCTTGCAGCACGAGCACCCTTCTGATGTCCCTTCTTGCAGTGCAACTCTTTGCTAGCCAACACACGGTATTTTGAGCAGAGGTACCTCGTAAGAGCATTGCTAAGTTATTTTCTTTGATGGTGTAGGTTTCTGATACTTCAAATCCCAGACTTGAGCATAAGAACTGACTTTCAAAGTCAAGTCTGAAAGCAACACAGATGCTTTCCATCAGCAGAAAGTACACAACATACCCACTTGGAAACCCATTAGCACATACACTAAATTAGGGCTTCACTTTAAGTTGGGTTTTGCTTTAGAGCCTGCTAACAGCCAAACTGTTAAGGCAAGAAGAACTCTCCTCTGCAGAGTCTTTTCTACGTCTGCCAGCACAAGGTCATGGTTTATTCTGTGACAGTCTGCAGCTCTAGCTGTCAGATGCCCCCAGGGAGTGCTACCTACTTCACTTAATTGTGTTTGACAGGTAGGGTTCTTGAGATCCTACGGACGCTTGACAGCTGCTGCCAGTCGGATGCTCGACCTACAGACACAAGCCTCGAGCCTGGGCAGCAGAGCTGGGTGCAGACAGTGAGGCTGGGTGCTGCGTCCCTGGCTGCACGGTCACTGCTGGGCATGCTGCCCACGTCAACGGTCAGGGAACAGGGAGTTACTGCGAGGGCTGCGCTCCTGTGTGCGCCTGCCTGTACTTGGAGTTCAAAATGCAGGTTTTATCAGATGTGCTGTACCATGTGGCAGACCTGCCCTTAATCGGCTAGCCAACAGCTTTCCGCAGCTAAGCCAGGAACTGGCCGCAGACGACAAGCTGTGATCAGAGTCCTTAACTTGGGGAGCTCCCAGGGGGGGTCTCCTGTTTGCTGGAATATGACTCTCACCAGTAGAGGCTGTTAAAAAAATAAGGTAAGCAACAAACCCAAAGAAGCACCTTCCACATCTAGCTACCCAAGGCTGTTCTGTGGTTGGTCCAGTAATTCTGACACAGCTCACAGAGGGGTAGATATTGTGCCATTTATCAAGCAGCCTCCAAAGGGAGAACATCTGCTGGCTGGACTCGCTGCTCACATCAATTCTCAGCCTTGTTTTCATGGAGAGTTGAATATGTGAAATCTGTTTCCAAGTACCGAGAGCTCTGCATCTGTGACCTGAGATACATTAACACTTCTGATGAATGAGGGCTCCAGCGGTTCTGCATTGCAAGCGAGACGCTGCAGACGGGAGGAGCAGAGGTGAGTTACAGCAGAACTGAGCGGGGAAGGGTAAGCATGATCTAGTGCATTAGCAAGACCCATCTCTTCTCAATGAAAAAGCTGCATCTTCATGTGCCTTCACAGAAATGTTTTGTCAAACTCATTGGAAGAAAGAAAAATGTTCTGCACCTCACACTGCTTAGCAGCAAGGTGGAGGCCTGTGCTTCCAAGTGTCACTTTTCAGGAAGAAATGCAGCTGGCAGAACCTTCCCTTTCAATACTCGCCAGATCATTTCACAGTCATTTTGGAAAACTGAAGCTATGCTTCTTTCAGTTGCTTGCTCAGTAGCTGCAACAAACATCCCTAGAGTTGACAGCAGGTAATGCTGGGGAATGCAACACACTGATTGCCAATTTCGAATGTGGATCCCAAGAGGATGGTGATGCTCCGGCTCGGGCAGGCTCGCTATTGCTCCCAGAGTCCCTGCAGCTTCTTTTCGATTGTATCGTCTCCTGCGAGTGGTTACCATCTCACAGAGGGGACTGTTGTATTTGTGCCATGACAGGCCAGGCCTGAGCTCTGAAACGCCCTCAGCAGGCTGGCTCCACTTCACCCCTTTCCAGGGTTAGGAAGCAATTCATGTGCACCCAAATGAACAAATTGGGTATTCTGCTGTCACAGCCCTTGAAAGGCCATTTATTAGGAACAGCAGTTCTCTTTAGCATGCAAAGGCTTTTATCCCAGACATTTTCTTATTCCAAATTTGACTCGAAACCAAAGAAATATCTGGAAAGGAGATTCCTCATCAATGCAAGTCCTTATTTCAGAACTTACTCTCCTCTTTGAGAGTGCACAGTGCCAAAGCTACCTCATCCACCCCAGCTCTTCCAGCAGGTACAAGCCTGACAGCCTGCACGTCAACAGAGGGGCTTCACCGCTTTGACTGTGAAAGGCAACTGCAGGACCCAAGCAAGCCTGTACAACCACCGGAGCCTTCTCCCTGGCTGGTAAATGAGCCGTGGCTATCAAATACTCACGAAGCTGAACACAGCCTCTCACACACCTTCGGGCTTGTGAGTGCCATGCCAAGGCAGCTCTGCGCAGGGGAACCACGGCACCCACACGTGCCAGGTAACCCCTGAAAGGCTGACAAGGACTGCAGGAGTGTCCCCCAGCAGAAGTCAGCAGTGCACAAATAACTAAGCCAGATTTCCTTTAGCAACAGGCCCACTCCAAAGGCAGTCTGACAGCACCTTTTGATCTGCAAGAAGTAAAAAAGATGAACCAGAGAGCAGAGATGGAGTCTGTTCAGCCCTACAGGGTTTGTGCCCAGTCCAACTCTGATGTACTCGGCTGGGTGTTCAATCTGAGTCAACCAGTCAGATTACCAGTCAAACCATCATCACTACTTTGGGAAGGGAGGGAGAAGCCTGTTATTCATTATCACAAGATGCAAGGTGACTGGCTAACAGAAGTCTCTTCAGTTGGGAGCCATCATTATATTTCATAGAATCATAGAATGGTTAGGGCTGGAAGGGACCTTAAAGATTTCACCCGAGTAAGCTTCTGAAAATATTTCAGTTTTCCTCATCTTCTTGTAAATATGGCTTTTTTGTTAACTTGTCAAATATTTTCGTTTCTTTCCACGATTATAAATGTTAAGATTAAACCAGCTGTATCGGGTGAAAGAATAGAAATTGTAATAAAAATAACCTGAACAAGACTTGAATTTGTTACTTCTGCAATAGTTGCCTAAGGAATGTACAACTAGTCTTTGAAGTTTCTAATTAACATGACAAAAAGTTGAAAGCTATCAGTTTGGTTAGTTCAGGACTTATTTTTCTTGTTATCAAAACAAAAACACCCCACCAGAATAGGAGATGAACATAAGGTCCTCAGGTTCAAACCAGCTCTGCACACACTTCAATGTTCCCCTGCTCAGAAAAAAAATGCATTAAGCAAATTCAGCTTGATGAGTGTTTTGGTTCTTCAATGAATACAGGAACATTTGTATTCTCTACTCCCATATTGTGCTATAAATTGTTCCCTAAGTAGGTCACCAAAACGATTTCTGAATGTTTCAAGACAGATAATTTCTACATGAGCTCAAAATACAAAACCAGAGTCTTGGCTGTCAGGGCAATGACAGATCTCCATCAGACCCACTGCTGTCAAAAAAGTAAGGGGAGTGCTCTTTTTAACTTGGCATCTGCTATCATGATTCAACTCTTTGCAGAGAAATATACTATTACTCCATATGGCAGCTTCCCCAATTGTAAAAGGGCAGCCAACTTCTATGGCAATGAGAGTGCTAGCAAATTAGCAACTAAGTCTGGCACTAATGAATGCTCTGCTGTCTCAATAGAAGGTGGCTGGAGGTTTCCTCGCATGTTTTCTCTTTGCTTTGTTCTAGCAGAAGATGCTACAAGAAAAACTGTGTTCTGATTCCTTTAGAGATTTAATAACCCAGATACTTCACTTGCTTCCTGATCAAAGGAAGCAGCATCTTGAGAATGCCTTGTTGAGAGAGTCCCCAGTGTTCTGGAGGCAGATCAGGACCGTCACCTCCTAGACTATTCCAAATTTCCTTCAGAGCAGGAGGCAGATTTCACCACAGCTGACCCAAATGCCATGATGCTATCACATCCTCGTGACCTGGATGCAGAGGGAATCCAGCTTTTCCACAGGCTGAAAGGGCCCTCTGTGGAAGACAAGCACATGTAATTCATTCACTGTCCGCACGCTCCCCCATCGCATGACTGAGCTCAGAGCCGGAGTGTAGGACTGCTCGTTTGAGCGCCAGAGAAGCTATTTCAAGCTGTTTGCCCAAAGACTCATCAATAAGTCATAAGCCCCAGAATGGAAGTCAAAAGAAGGGAAAAAACAGTTGCTCATGCAGAATAAATAGTAACTTCCATCGCATTCTCTTAATCTAAAAAGAGTGAGCTGCTTCAAAACATTTCCCTCTATGGGATGCTACGCTACAGCAACCCAAACTAGTTCCAACCCCTGAGGGCTTGAGGCCAGCAAGACATGCTACAGTGCAAGCTAACTGCCCTTCTGGGATACTGGGAAAATCATCCTGGAGGACCCGGCCACACAGAGCAGAGGAGTCGCCCGCTGAGCTCCGCTCCACGGCGTGGCTGCTCATGGCAGCTATAGGGAAGAGCTGCCTTCCAGGAAGAACCTCTGCCTGATGAGTACTTCAAGACCACTGCTCCTGAGGCATGCCAGGACTGATGGAGGGGATCTCCAGTCTAAACTGGAGGGGAACACCTCCCTGGATCTGTTGTGCCTTTATCAGATTGGCCACCCAATCTGATAAAAATCCTCTTTTAGGGAACGGACAACACGCACCCACAGCATCATTAGTGAAACGCTGGTTGCTTACGTCACGTCCCCCCTGCCTTTCCTGGAACTCAGCTCGTTTGCATTGGATTAAGCTATCTTGGCCAGGGATGTGCCAATGCCTTTGTAAAGCACCCTGGAAGTTAAGAGCACTGGAGAAATATTAATCACTGAGCAGTTGCCATCTTTCCTGCAGTTCCTTTAATTGCCTCAATTCTTGCTGTCTGCTCTCGCTGCCTGCTCCACCACAGACCTGACCTCTCTTCAGACCAGCTCCAGTTCATAAAACCAATTAAACCTCAGGCCCAGTTTACAGAATAGAGTTACTGGAGCAAAGACCTTAACCTACACAGATAGATGCAAGGGGTGGGTTTGAGATGCTCAAAAAGGCAAACTCACAAAATTCAAGAAGTGTCTACTTCAGTCTTCCCAAAAGAGACTAGAAAAAGGAGGAGGAAGCTTTGGCCAGACTCATGGTCCACATGGATGAAGTCTGCCTGCTTACCCTACACATGTGGTATTTTGTTACTAGAGCCTTACCACAGTGCGTTGAGCCAAACAAATTGGACTGAACCTGCTGATCCTCCTCTACCCAGAACAAGACAATCCTTACCTGGAGGTTGTTCAGAGGCTCCATTTTCATGACTGGTCCCAGAGTGTTCAAGGGCAGGGAGACATCAATACTTTGGTTTGGCATCAGAGGTGTGTGAATGGCCAGTGGAGTGCTCGGGATGACTCCAAAGCTGGACAAGAGGAAAACAGAGGTGATGAGAGCAGCACTGCATTGCCCAACATCTCTTCCCCTTTTGCCAAGCACAAGGGCCTGTTACTCCGGAGCTGCCCTGCCATTACTCCAGGGGAGGAACACAGGTCTCAAAGTGTACCACAGCAGACACTCAGAGTAGGATAAGGCACAGGAAACCTAATCAGGTCAGTCTTCCTGACAACATCCACCAACCTGCCCAGAAGGACCAGCATCAGGGAACTCTTCCATTACCCGTGCAGCACTGGTCTTTGTGCTGAGCAGCAGCCTGCCCAGCAAGCAGTGGCACCTGGACTCAGTCCCTGGCCTGTGAGCTCTCTCACAGAGCTACAAAGCACTAGAGGTAGAGTATAACACACACTGCATGCCTATTATATCATCGGAAGCCATCGACGGAGGGACTGGAGCCAACTGAGAACAAACACATCGCCAAGGAGGAGTATGTGGTTTGTAATAGAGCACTGTAGAACAAATGAATCAACGCAGCCAGCTGTCTGGTCCCAAATGACAGCGCCTGGCTCTGTTGCCTGGGTTTGAGACTCCTTCAGCTGGGGATGTATACCACCAGAGCAAAGTGAATGTTTACTTGCCCATTCAGTCCAAAAGCCATTTTATTCCAGAGGCACCTTTACCTAGTGTGAAGAGGAGGAAAAGCAGCTAACATTTAACGTAACACTTCTGTACTGTGTACTGGCTTCTTTTCGAAAGCAGATGGATAGGACAGCTTTAGTGGCCACTTGTGACTGCGTTTCTCTAACGCAATTCACATTAGCTCAGAGGTGATGGAGCATTTACAAGAACAAAGGTGTGTATTTTTATTTTACGTACTAGAAAATGATACTGTCTCTGCAGAGTCAGCCACATGTTTATTGGGTATGTCACTCTTTCAGAAACCAGACGATGCCCCATCCTTTGTTCTCCATAGTTTTCAGCTCCAGGGAACCGAAATAAGAATTTTCTCAGCAAGGGTCTAGCCATGTGATTTCCCTTCTGCAGCCATTTCACCTTGGGGAACATAAGCCCTAGTGTTTTCCCCTAGACTCAGGGAGAAAAGAAAGACACATTTTGCGACTAAGTGGCTGTGGTACTAAAGCACTCCAGAGCTCTAGCTTTCCTGTATTTTTTTTTTAATGCTTTATCCCAACACTGCAGTGAATGTGATTAGTAGCAGCAGGAAAGGCGGAAAAGCAAAAGGAACTTTCCAATCACAAACCTTAATATTTAAACCTAAAGAGCCAGCCCACTGCACCTCTTCCCAGTGCACCCGCTACAGTGGAAAGCTGTGACAGGAGAACAGGATTTGTAGAAGAGTAAACAGTAGTAGACTGTACATGGAGCATGTGCTGATACACTGCAAAAAGGAGAAACTGCTGGTTTACTGTACAGTATTCAAACTTCTTACATCTTTGAGAAGTATCATGTAGGTGTGGCTATAACACAGCTTGATGTATGGGGAAAAAAACCACAAGCAAAACTGCTTTTTTCCAGGTCAATTCGCATGAAACATTTGAATATAGCAGCTTAGCAAAACTCTCCAGAAAATACAACAGTCCAGGGAGAACATTTACTAAGACTTACTTAGCATAATGTCTTTTGTAAGTAAATATTATTCGTCCCAAGAAAACCCAAATTTGCAAGGCTAACAGTGATATTAAAGAGATGGTTTCAGCAGATCTTTAGTTAAGAGAACCCTTTTCCAGTGAAGGGATATTAAGAAATCTGGGGAACATTTCAGTCACAAGATATTCTTTACAGTCTTGATAAGAACTAGCCTGGTCCTTGCTCAAGATAACATACAGCAAGCCACATGATAAGCTCCGAGAAGGGGATTTGTGGGAAGACGCCGTGGCTGTACTGCCATGTCATCTCTTTCGGCAGAGATGCATTTCTGAGAACAACCTGTATGCTCTAAACATTCAAGTGGTTGCTCCTCCTGACAAAACTGTTCTGCTGCCAATTACAGGAAAAACATGTGCCACAGGCTCCTACCTCGCAACCTCTTCACTGACGAACAGGTTTATTAATGAGACCCACACTTCCAGACAGTCTGAGGGGCAGCACAGCAATTAAGGCAGGAGGCAGAGGCATTACAGACTGATACTCATGTAGCTCAAATGCTTGCCTGTTTATGCTCTTACTTTCCTCAGGGCACTTCCTGGCTATAAAACCACTAACCTGTCTAAGGCTGCCAGGAGGCTGCTTTAAAACTCTGCAGAGATTAAATGGGGCAGCTGCTGTTTCAGAGCTAGGAGAATGATGGGACTGTCTGCCGCCTGTTTACTCACAGATTTATCAGTCTGTATTTTCAGCCCTTTCACACAACTGTGGTGTGATCGAGAGTTCAGGCTGTATCATCCAGCTGTTTCCATGACTCAACTATATTCTACCAGAAAAGTCCTCTCTGTATCTAGCAGTGTAGACACAGATTCCTTTCACAGGAGCACTTAACACAGCTGACAGAGTGTATTCATTTCTTACCTGTTCTTGTTGAACTGAATGGCAAAGTCAGTCATGTGCTGCAAAGCCTTATTGGTAAAGTTCATCTCCATGTAGATGTGGCCCTGCCTGTGACTGAATGTGCCAGAGATCTCCAATCCTTTAGCCTTCACTGCAGGCAGCCAAACCTTGAACACAAGAGATGTCATTCAGCATGAGAAGCCTGGCCTGAAGATAAGAAACAAGCTGTTTTCCAAATAACAGCAAAGTGCCAAGTTTGGAAATCCAGCTACAATGGCACTTTAACCCCACAAATGATAAAGAAACACTACAGAGAAGATAAGATATGGGTGTTGAAAGGATCAAGTTCACCAATAAGAAACAAGCTTGCTGCTCCTAATCCGTATTTCTTCACGGCACTCATAAGATTTCAAATATACTCTAACACTGGTATGCACAAGACTCAGTGAAAGCTTGTCCCCATCACACTAATGTGAGACTTACACGTCTGCTAATGGACAGGCTTCTCCAAGGATCTGTTGGGCTATTAGAGGCAGGACAACACGAAAGTTAGAACCACATAAAAGTCACAGCGCTGATACTATTGCTGTTCAGGTTCTGGATTCCCAAATCATCTTTGTGAGAAAAATGCAGACTCAGATTTGAGGGGTCTAAAATGAAGTATTTAGCTCAAAACTATTGAGTTCTTTCATACTTGATCTTATACATGGTGTAATACTTGCAAGCAGCTACGGACCAACACCTTTGAGTATGCTCTGCAGTACCTTGAGATCCTGGATTTCATAGGATGACTTTAGTTTATTTGTCCATTGGTTATTTCATAAGAGTGCTAATTTTTGTTTACTCCCTTTCAGACATGGAAGGTCAACCTTGAGCAAACTGTGGCTGCTCCAGAGCCTATTACCAGAACCATGTCCTGCATCTCACGAGCCCTTCAGACTAATCACGCTTCAGTCAGTGCATCTGTGATCTCTGTCACTAACAGCATTTATCCGCATGACACTGAGGCATGCTCATCCTAATCACATGATTTTATCTTTGCTGTCACGTTGGATTCCTCCAACTAAAGGAATCTTCTGTGAAAGTTGTAGCAAACTGTATCCTGCCCTCAGTTTCCTGGGGAATGTTGCTAAGAAGTAGGTCTCCAGGAAAGCTGCTCTGACAAAACTGAAATTCTCATATCTTACATAAGCCATTCTTTGGAATAATATTGTTATGGGCAAAAAATGGAAACTGCTAAAAAACCAGAAGTCTGTAACTAACAACTAACGGTCTACAACACACTGTTACGCTGCCTGGGAAAAATCCGGAGCATCCCTAATGGGACTGAGTTGAACTGAGTACCCCAATAACACCACAGACCCACAGTACATAGGGCAAGCAAGGAAACTCAGACTTCTCGTAGCCTAAGGTAAGGCAACATACTGAGGACGTTCTTTTTCCTTACGTACAGACTTTGGAGCCACATATCCTCCAGGAGCCATGCCTATACCGGACGAGAGCTCGAAGAGATCATTGAGTCCACTGCTCACCACTGCTGGGGTGGGTGAAGGGGCAAAGGTGGCTGGCACGGAAGAGGGAATGTAGGTCTGCCCCACCTGGAGAAGTCAGAAAGAACAGGCACTGATGAACACAATATACCAAGAACACTATTTATTAAATAAAGCATGAACTCAGGCAATATCCTAAATATTTTAAAGCCATTTGCAGTTTCCCTGCTGAATTATCAATAGTGCTAAATAATGCATCTGAATTCCAAAGCTCTTGGCAACTAATCCCTACACTCGGCTGTCACCTCAACCATGCAATAGCTTTCACATCATTTTTTATAGCTCCAGTTATCTATTCCCACTGTAGAGGAATCTTTCTTCTCCAGCTCTCCTTCTCATGAAGACAATATGCTTTGTGCATCTAACCTACATAAACCTAGGGAGAAGAAAAAAAGGCTTCAAATCTTCCCCCAACTATGACAGTCTTCAGGAATCTGCAAGATTTTGCATATCCAGAGATAGCAAGGGAGTCATGACCGTACTGCATACTCCCACCCAAAGCCAGAGCTCTGCATTCTCAGCAGTGTGGTCCAAAAAGTTCATTACATGAAGCAGAACTAGCTGTCTCTGCCTGCCAGAAGACATGTCTGCAAGGACAGTCCTTCCCTCTCAGGACTTAAAACAAGGGCATCAAACCTGAAATATTAACCTTTAGGTGCCCAGCCCCAGGTGGGACAGTCACACTCAAGTCAGGGTTCCACGTTCTCTTTACTGTGAGCAGGAAGAATTAGGTGGCTGAGAACAGGATTCACCCAGTCAGCTGCCCAGAAAGAGGCAGAATGACTAAAGGCAGACAACAGCAGACAGCGGTGACTAGTCTGGGGCTGAAGTCTCACTGCTGTTCTGTGTTCAGGAACCCACCCTTGGGACAGGGAGGGCTGGCGGGTTTACAGAACAGTGTGGTGGGTTTATGGGAAGGCAGAGGCCTGGTTCTGTAGGCGAGATCTCTATGGAGGAAGTGACCCTCCTGTCCTGGTGTGTACTGCTGGGGGCTACAGCTATACTGTACCACCGGCTCTCCTCTGCCCTCGTGCTGAAGTTAGAAAGGAATGCAAGATTCACAGGGAAAGAAGGAGAGAGAATGACTGCAGCCATAACAAGGGTCTCTGAAAAGCTCTCATTCCAGAACTGAGTATTCTTTCCTCTCTGAATTACTGGCTACAGAGTCCTGGGAAGAGGGACTGGAGCTTTCTCCAGGAGATTGCATTTGGGTGTGGGTTGGAGGCACACTCCCTGCTGCACATTGCATCTCCAAGTCACCTTGCATCCTTTTCCTCTGCTTTCCTGGAAGAAGCTGGCACGCATTTGAAGCCAAGGGTGCTTTGGAAACAGCCTCCAAGTCTCCCATGTCCTCAGCAAGCGCTCTAAGTACTAAAACACTCACTAAGCACAGGCACAGAGGGGAGGCTGGTGGCAGGCAGAGTTCAGCATCGTAGGAAAGCTCAGAGCACCTGATCATGACATCCAGGGGGAAAAAAAAAAAATCTTACGTGGTATTTGGAAGGAGGAAAGCACTGAGTTCAGGCAAGCCCGTGGTGACACTGGGTTAGGGTTACAACAGAATAGACTTTGTGAGTAGAGAGTTAAGCATCCTTGGCCTTTCAGCTGCCAAAGCAGGTGCATAAGGACCGGGGTACTGCCAAGGTTAAGGCTGGTGCTCAAACAATAAGCCCTGAGAAAAAAAGAGCTAAGCAGTTAGAGACAGGAGCTCTGGCCCTGGCTGCTCTTAGGAAAGCCCAGGTGATGGATGGACTCAAAGCAACATGGGTTGGGACCTGTGTGTTTTGGTTGCAGTTGTCCATTTTCAAACATCTTCAGGGATTTAAACATCTTCCAGCACGTAACGGGTGAGGTCATATTCAAAAACCCTGAGCTCTGAGCAGCTTTTTAAATTGGGGAAAAAAAATGGAATGGCACTTACTGCCGGGCTTCCTCCAATGCCCCCGCCAAGGTCACTGCCAAGCTGAAAGAGAGAAGGAGAGAGAGGAGAGAAAGACCGAGTTCATTTAAGCCAAGTGTCAGATGGCTGGAGCGGAGCTCAGCTGCCCGCACTGCTGCGAGCGCGTCTCGCGTGCCGCGTCAGGACAGGCAGAAACGCAACGATGGGAAAGCGCAGGGAACAGAGGGGCTGCTTTTGCTGCTGTGTTAGCAGAGCTATTAGAGAACTACCCCACACACCTACTGTGGGCAGGAGCGTTTCGCAGGTTAATAAGAACAAAATCTCATCCCCCTGTCATCTGCACCACAAAGTCCGCGCAATTCTTGGTGCTTCATGCATCAGTGCTTTCCCTTCAACCCACCACGCTGGCTGCCAGCAGTGCTGAGCAGCTCCACAAAACCCAGTGGGGTAACTGTGAAATGGAACAAAAATAAAACTGACAGGAAGCTCACTTCCTGAAAGCTTTAGTTTTCTAGGGAACAGCTACGAACTACAGGAAAACACAATGCATCTTGGCTACGTTCCTGTGACATGCGGCAGCTCTTCTCAATAACAAGGAAGGGAAAACGGGATATGTGCTGGCTAATACACCACCTCACATAGGTGGGGCTTTGTGTTCCTTTTGAAGATGCTCCCCTCCCTTAGACAGGAAAAAAGAAAAAAAAAAGAGTTTCATGAACTAATGAGCCACTCAAGTAGTAAAGAGACCTTACAGCACTAGGATAGTTCAGTAATGATCTCTGTCAAGCTACACAGCTACAGTTTGAAGCAACTGAAATAGCCACTGTATACTACCCACGCAACCCTCCCTAAACACTAAATCCTCCCTGAAGCCCTTCTGCCAAACCATCCTGCAGCCCACCTAGAAACTGTCTTACCACGACTCTCTTTATGAAGCATCCAGACCACTTTCTCAATGATAAAGCCCATTTTTGAAACATCCACACCATTCTACATGCTTGATGCAGCGATCAGGACAGGCTCCAAAGCTGGCTACAAGTGCTGTTTGCAAGTACATCACTCCTGTGAATATTTATAAAGCACTCGACAGATGACTGATAGCCAGGAGGAAACAAGCACAGATCTGCAGTGGTTATTCACTACAAAGACACCTCTAGGCTTATCTGTGTCCTAGGCTTTTGTTCAGAAGCCCACGGTAATTTTTAGCCCAGTGCAGGGTTTTTTGTGTGTCACATTCAGACGAGCATCGTGCCCAAGCAGGTGCATGGAGGATGAAGTAATGAGGCGAGGTAGAAGCCAGTCCCATAGGGAAAAGGTTGGGCTAACACACCAGAAAGACACAGGTCCCCTCATAAGTAGCTTTGCTTTTCCATTTAATTAGGGTTTGGGGAGTTAGTTTGCTTTAGAAAAGCATTTGACAAACAGGGTCAACAAAGGCTCTAGGTATGGTGTTAAAATATGCCCTGGTGTGTTGACATGGAAGAAAACCATACCGTATAGCTACAGCAGAAGCTTCCAGGAGCACCTGTGCTTAAGAGCTAAAAAAGGCTCCAACCTTTTCTCCCTGCACAAAAGACCTGAAGTTCAACTTTGTCCTTGTCCCCGCTAGCCTGTTCCCTGGGAGATCTCTTGGCAAATGTATTTTACGCTGGTCAAGAGATACCATTAAGTTTTGTACTTCTCTCCCTCACAGCACAGACAAAAGGGATAAAACGCCTTGAGAACAGCAGCGAAGTTGCAAGGCAGTGACTCACTAGGTAACCAGCCACCAAAAAAACCATAATGTGACAAATCCCTGCACTCTTCTGGACACCCCTTCTAACCCCTGGCATCACTCCTTCCCCTAGTCCCCACAGGGGACACCTAATGCAATAGTAGCTACCATAAGTAGGTGTTAGACAAGTACAAATCACACATAATTTGTCTTTTGTGAAGAAGCCTTAAGAGCTTTTTTCCATTGTGAGACTCAGTTTATCCCTATTTGAGGTCACAGCAGAATTTTATAGGAAGTCGCTCATCATCTGGAACAGCGACCTCTTCATACGGTAACCCATCCTCCAGCTGCCCACTGGTGAGTCCAGTTTTTCTGACCTCACTTAAGAGATAATAGACAAAAGTGAGCAATTCCAAAGTCAAAAGAAAGATCAGCCACAAACCAAAGGAAGCCAACTAGAGGATGCAAATCCAATTAATACTGAGATTACAAAATACAGTTTATTACACTGTCAGGTCTCCCCAACTGAAACAGCCTGGCAGAGCAGAGTTTTGTTCTACAGACCGCTCTTTAAGCCAAGCCATGTTTTAGATTAATATATCAGGCCATTTACATCTTGTTACTGGCTCACTGAGGAGTAATAAATGCAACTATTACACCTCATCCCTATTCAGAGTCTCGCACACAGATGAACTTCAACACTTTATACTGACAGGCAGTGAAGTCCAGAGGAAAAGGAAAGGTACAGAATCCAGTTCATTTCCAGATATTATTGTAAGCACAGAGGATTTCTGGTACTGTTATCTGAAGCAGGAGAAAGGCCAGTTATCAAGCAGCAAGCATATTACAAAGGGTATTATGGAAATGACTGAATAATTCTGCATAATCAAGCCAGATGTTAACTATTTACCATTTCCTTCTACACCCATCATAAGAAGCTGCAGGCTAGGAATCCAACCTCGAAGAAACCCATACACTGGTGTCTGCATGCACACACTCTGAAGAAGGGAAGGAATGACATATTGGGGTTCCTCAAGCTATCCAGGTCTCTCATTCTCCCTAGCTGTCAGGCCTTGGGGGAAAAGGAGAATTTGGATTTACTGCTTGTCTTAAGTTGAGGCTCCAGCTCTCACCCCCTACAAGGCAGAGAAAAAACCTCACTGGCTCAGAGAATTTACCATGAGCCTCCTTACATTTCTAGATTGCACCCAACATGTCTGCTTTATGGTAGAAGAGATCTCTTTCCAGTGCCAGGGGGCTCTGACCTGCTCCCCCTGAAAACCCACTTTACTCAGAGGAGGGGTCTGCACACTCTTGACTCCTATGCCTGGGACCCAGCACTGCAGATGTGCACTGCAAAGCCCAGTGAGCAAGCTCTGAGGAGCTGGCAACCTCACCAGGTCCCTACAGGCAGAGCTGGCTCTGCCTACACAGTGACAAGAGAGGTGGCAGCATATGTACTTGAACAGAAATTAAAGGGGAGAGAAGAAAGAACTAACACCATCACTTGCACATCAGATCCAGGGTGCAGTACCCATTGTAGCAGCACAGAAGTCATTTTCTTTTTCCTTACCTGTCACCCTCCCACATCGCCAGCGCTTTCCCCATTCAGAAACTCCAGGTCTGGTTTACACAACCCTCCTGCAAGATGCCCAGGATCTAACTTTCTTCCCAACTCAAATGATGAAAGAGACTGTTAACAGCGATGTGTGTGAGTAAGGGGGAAGGAGGAAGACAGAGGGAACAGGAACCAATTACCCACAGAGTGTCCTCTCCCATCTGGAGTGACAGGCAGAGTGCAGAAGGAATAAAGCAGATATTAGTCAGGCATGAAGTGCTGCTTAACCAATTCCCCAGGGCTGGCAGCTCTACTTAACCATTTCCATTCATCTCATGGGTGGGGAGACACTCCTGTCGGAAGGACAACGTGCACCTGCCTCACGTGGGAGCAGGCAACAGGCTCGTGTGGGAGAGGGGCATGTTAACACAGCTGGAGCCCTACCCAGGCTGAAACGCTCGCGATGAAGGTGTGGGGCACGAGGACCACCACCTGGTCTGAGGATGACCAAGGGCAACTTTTGGCTGGGAACTGGCGGCACTGCAAAGCCCCAATCCTGAGCCCAAAGTTGGCAGACTGGGCTCTTGCTGAAGAGTGCAAAGCCTCTGTCCAGGATGAGGAGCTGCCAGCCTCAGGGGACAAGGAGGATGAACAGGGAGCCCTGGCCAAATGCACAAAGTTCTTCAAGCAGGAATTCTCCTTACTCCCTCCAAATCCATCCTGCTACGACACTACTTGAGCAGCCATGTGGGTTTAAAGAAAAGGCTGGGCTTGACCCTGTTTCAACAAAACCAGCACTAGCACCTCTCCGCAATATGCATCAGTGGCGTTACCGTTACGAGTTGGCGCCGACGGCGTGGCGGCTGCTCTGCAGTTGAAGCGCATTTGCCCTGTAATTTCAGCTCCGTGGAAGCAGTTATGCTGACTTATGAAGTGCAGCAGGGCTGGAGTTACTGCATTAGGAGGGTTTATTTGCATCTTAACAGCAGCTTGTAATGAAGTGACTCTGCTGAAGTGTTCATGTGATCCAGAGGGGTTACAATCACTTCTGCAACATGACGTGAGGCATTTGGAGCTCCAAAAAAATAACAGGGAAGGTGGAGCCAGAGACAAAAGCTGCAACAACCACTGCTCAGCAACCCCTTTGCCTTGTGACCATAGCATAGCCAGGGCTTTCAGCGCAGCTATGCATTTCATGGAGCCCGAATGAATGGGTTAACAGGGAACAATTGCTGACTCCTCCCTCCCTTGCACCCCAAACCAAGAGTTAAGCATCACAGCTCAAAGATCTAGACGAGAGCATGCACTGAGTAACAGCAGCAAGGAATGGAAGGCATTTACTAAACAACAATCAGGCGACGGGGCTGAGCGAGATGCTGAGAGCACAGTTGCTAGCAGGCCACTTGATCCGGGTTAATCCTGTCAGAGACTTCCTCACCGCAGGACAGATCATGCATGGTCTGCATCTCCTGACGGGCTGCAGATGGCTCATTGCAGACTCCGTGCTGCCTCACGCAGGGGCATTTTCAGCACCTCATCTCCTGCCTATTTTATGTGCCTGTTCTCATGCCACCAAGCCAGGGTTGCAGAGCTGAAGGGCGACTGTCCAAAGCAGGGTCAGCTGTGTCAAAGGTGGAGAGGGACAGGTCATGCTGTCAATACCGTGGCCAGCAGTTTCAGTAGCACTGTTAATGCTGTACCTTGCTGAACGTCTTCCATCAGCAAACGAAACGTACTAACCATTTCCATTTTCTAAAGGGTAAAAAAGCAGCTCTACAAAGCCCCAGTCGT